ATTTATAAACCTGATTAATTATGGATATGTGTGCTCGACTGAACCTGCTGCTCAATAAACTCCACACTAATGCTCCTAAGCAGCGTGTGCTTTGACATGTCATTGACACGATCTTTCACGTTTTCCTCCGCATCCTCTGCATGCTCTTTTATTCATTCATTCACTCGTTTAAAAAAAACAAAACAAAAAAAAACTCATCTTTATCTACTTTTCCCGCTGAGCGTCCCTCGAGCCTCTCTCAGCTCACTCTCCCTCCGCCTCATTCATACTTAATACAGCAGTCGACCGAGATGAATATTGTGGTTGTCTGTTGCTTCTTCCTGCAGCTCTCTCCCACCCCTCATTGTGTCTCGCTCTGCTGCACTGCCCCCCTCATTATCCTCCAGACCCATGAATGAAATACGCTCTCGCTGCACATTCCTGTGGGATGACCGCTGACCACGCCAGCTACTGTTAAATACACACACTCGCAAGGCACACACGCCAACAAAAACAGACAGACATTCACGCACAAAACATGAAGTGAGGTTTTGTTGTTAGGGCAGCGTGTGCTTTTTGACCCTTCAGTCTTGCCGCCCGGGCTGTTGGTTAATTGTGTCTGAGGGGAGATGTATAGGCCTTAGCGACAGTGCTGCATTTACGCTGTCGAGGAGAGAAACCCAAGGCCTTGTTAAATCACCTCTCACTACCAGTTAGTCCCCCCGGACGCCACTGCCCCCCCCCACCCTGCAGGTCTCGCTCTCTTGGGTCCTCTCTTATATCCTCCCTGCACCTGCCAGACAGCAAACTCCTGCCAGCTCAAGGCCCTGATAAGGCTTCAAACAGACATTGGAGGACAGTTGGATTTCTCTCTAAAGTTTGACTCCCCTTCCTCCCTCTCCCACTGTGAAGGTGACCCCGTCAAAATGAGTGTGTTAGTGTGTGTTTGTCTGTGTGTGTGTGTGTGTGTGTGTGTGTGTGTGTGTGTGTGTGTGCTGAGATGAGATGAGATGAGAAGTCAGGGCCCAAATGAGGATAGATGGCTGAGTGTCCCTGGCCTCTGCCCGCTGCAGAGAGCAGACTGAGAGGGAGAGATATTGGAAATCGACACCTTGGCTACATTAATCCCATGGTCCATTTAGCCAGGGATCCAAACAGCGGGAGAGACTTCTGCTCCCCCTATTTAGGAGGGAAAATACATGTTGCAGTGTGCTTTGTTTGTTTGTCTGTGTGTGTGAGGAGCCTCTGCAGGAAAGGGTGTGAGCTGTGATATTTCATTACAGGAAATCCATTCAAGGCTATATTTGGTTTTCAGTCAATTTCTCATTCCATGTTACTCAAGAGTGTAATTATGTTTTTGTTTGTGTTGCATTTTTTTTTAGTAAATGGAGTCTCGTGGGGAAGTGAGGCCACCCGACAGAAGAGTCACACCTTCACTTGCCGGATGCTGGTCAAGTTTGGCCACGCCCACGGCCCCATGGAGGAGGGGCCAGGAGGGCCACGCTATGAGACCATGCAGTGTTTTGCTCTCACACAGCCCAAGGCAATGATTGAGGAGGGTGAAGGTACAATGGCTTTCAAATCTGCATATTTTTTCCTTCATGACAAGAGGATGTTATTTCAGGATGATAATGTGTTTAAATAACATAAATCTGTGTTTAAAAAAAAATATATATTTCAAGATCCAAAAGTGCTTTGTGATTTGATTTCACTCGGATGTTTGACCTTCACTAAGTAGAGTTTTATTCTCCATGGGCATTTTTTGCACACTACACTGAAGGGGGGCGAGGTTCTCTGTTCTCCATGTACTCCAAGACATCTGTATTTATTTGTATTGGCCTGATTTTGCAATCCCATTGCCGCACATGAAGCGCAAAAAACGTATCGAAACTTAAACCTCAGAACACACTTTCGATGAACTTTTGAGTCCAAAAGTATTTTCATATTCAATGAGTCCGGATTTTGCCTCAAGCAAAATGACTAAAATGTTAATTAAAGGATTTGTAACAAGGTACTTTACCTTTTGTACGGACAGACCAAATCAGACACAAATTATGATACCAAGCAGACTTTATTATCACTAAAAATGTCTGGAGGGAATTTTTCAGAAGAATTAGAAAATCTAATTTTAAATGCAATTTGCAAAGCAGGCACTTTGTAGTATTTCTTGTTACCTCCACACTTATAGTAACTCGGGCTCATAATTTGAGGCTTGTTTAAATTTGCTACCCAGTTTCTCTTCACCTTTTACAATTTTGACAACATTTCTTTTCAAACTCTGCTCACTGACATAGACCCTAGAACATACCCTTAGGGTGCACAAAGTATCCTTTGAATATTTTTAGAAAACATGAAGCAATTTCAATTAAAGGAGAGAATTTCCATTATAAGAAATCCATCAGCATAACATTCATATGTCATCGCTCATACCTTACCTGATACTTTAAAACCCAGACTTCAGGAGCGCAAAATATCTCATATCAATGAGAGTGAAGCGGTTAAAATCCTAAAACAATAATCCTTAAGTAAAAGTAGTAATCATAAAACATTTCTGAAACTCTTTTTCTTCCCCCTTCAGACCTTCAGTCATGTATGATCTGTGTGGCCCGACGGGTGACAGCTATGGAGAGAACAGAGAGTTTTAATACCCGTCACGAGCTATCAGGTGAGGAGCTGCATCCCCGATAACTTGAAGTGGCCATGGCGTATCGTCTGCACCCGCAAACAAGTTTTCCACATCCCTCCTTACTTCTCCTTGGTTCCTCCCCGCCACTCATCCTCCTTCTGTCCTCCACGGCAGGTAAATTGATCCAGATCGACCAGAACTCTCTGCGGGCGTCGATGCGTCCAGGCTGGGAGGATTTGTTGAGGCGTTGCATTCAAATGTTCCTTCAGCATAGTGACGGGCAGCCCTGGTCGCACAAACGCCACTACCATGAGGGTGGGTCACACGCAAACACACGCACCTTGAGCTAACTGCAGCAGTACTTCAGATTTAGCACATGCATCATGTTAAGCAACATTGGAAAATCATCGGGATGTTGCTGTAGTTAATTGTTACTCAGTTGTGTATCCTCTTGATTACAATGCTGTTGTTAAAGCTTTAAACAGTTGATACTGTGTGACTTGTTATTTTGTCAGTAGTAGTAATCAGTAGTTGCCACCAATATCTCAGCAAGGCGTCACTTTAGAAGAACCCTCAATGCATATTAATAAGCAACCACAAACTCCTGCATTACTGTATGAATATTGATCCCCTGAATACAAATGTCTGAGCCATACATCATTAATCCTCAATGTAATCACAGGGTTAGTTTTAACATAAAGGCTAATTAATGACTTGTTATTAGTGAAGTGTTTCAGGGTTGTTAATTTGTCATTGATCTGCCTGGGCAGCCTTTTTGCAGGGTCACGCTGAGACACCACTGTACCGCTTCTCTCTGTCCGACGGCACTCCAGTTACGGCGCAGACCAAGAGCAAACTGTATCGGCATCCAATGAGCAACGAGCCTCAAGGATTCATCTCCACTCACCTACTACAGAGGTCAGAAACTTTAAAGCGCGCTCACACTCTGCTCAAAGACAGCAGAGAATCTTTCAGGTATTGCATAAAAGCACTTTCAGCGTATCTATGCAAGGCAGTCGAGGTATTCAACAACTGAAGTGGCAGTTGAAGTAGCTTTTTTTTAACTGACATCCTGTGAAGAGGAAGAAAAATCCTCATAGGCACAAATAGTGAGTTGTTGTTGAGATGAAATATTTGAATACATTACAGAACGATGCAATACGGTACAATGCAAAACAGTATGTTGTGATACGCTATGATACTATACACTTTGTAGCACCCCAGGGGCAAATACACATTGATTAGTCATAGAGAACACCATGAAGCCATTGCACAACCCCTGCTACCTTAAGATGCATCGTTTTAAATTCCTTTTTCCAAAACTCTTGTGCTCATAATACCTCTCTTTCCACGCAGGGAACCCAATGGTTACCGCTCCTCTCAGGGTGGGGGCATGATGCCGAATGCTATGAGACAACAGGGCATGGGAGGCCCGAACCCCAATGCCCAGATGAACATGAACAGCGGTGGGGGGATGGGGATGGGAAGCATGGGCGGCATGAACAGGGGCTTTGGCATAAATGAGCAGGGCCACATGGGTCACATGGGTCCAATGGGCGGCGGCTCTATGTATGGAGCAAATGGAGGAGCGAGTGGAGGCATGGGCAACCGCATGATGCAGATGAATCAGATGGGGCAGATGAGTCAGGTGGGGCACATGAATCAGATGAATCAAATGGGTCCCATGAATCACCCTGGCCAAGGAATGCAGCAACACCCGCAGCAGCCCCCATTTCAGAGCAGCGGAGGGTTTGGGCTGGGTGGCATGAATAGCCCCTCCGGAAGCCCCAGAATGGGTGGACCCCAGCAGGGACTCCTGATGTCACCACGGAACAGAGGTAGTCCAAAGATGGGTGCCAACCAGTTCTCACCAGGAGGTACTGGTCAATCTTTGTTGTCATTTGGCATAGTCTGTTTCTACTAGTTTCTTTAAGTTAATTCATTTGAGTTGTGTTTTATTTCCAGGCTTACACTCTCCCATGAGTGGCATTGTCAGTGGTGGAGGAAGCGGAGGAAGTACCACCACCTTCTCCAGCAGCTCACTAAACGCCCTACAAGCAATCAGTGAAGGTGTAGGCAGCTCCCTGCCATCGACTTTAACGTCACCCTCGCCAGCCCTTAAACCTGACAGCTCTCCCAGTGTCCACTCCTCCTCTTCCTCTCAGCCCAGTCAGCCGGCAAAACCAGGCCAAGATGGCTCCAAAAGCCCAGCCGGAGGCTTTGGACCTGGGCCGGGTGACCATCACCACCCAATGCAGCATCACCACCATCATCAGCATCCTCAGGCTGAGAGTTCTGGAGATCGTCCTGACAGCCAGGCAGCTGCGGCGACTAAAGAGTGTGGCGATGCAGGCAATGAGGCAGGGGTGGCAAGCTCAGAGCCTCCTCGGAGGTTGCCGGACAGTAAGGGGCATAAGAAGTTGCTGCAGTTGCTGACATCCCCAACTGAGGAGCTGGGAATAAGTGGCAGTGGGCCAGCAGGGCCCCCTGTACCACCCCCACCACCCAGCAGCAGCACTCCTGCAGGCTCAGATAGTAAGGACCCCACAGGAGGCATGACCAGCCCGTCGTCTACTGGGGTCTCTTCCTCTTCCTCAGCCAGTGCCAATCCAGGTCTGGCGACTGGTCCAGGGGGCGTGTCAACATCACTTTCATCAGCCCACTACACAGGCTCGCTGCAAGAAAAGCACAAGATCCTCCACAAGCTTCTTCAGAATGGCAACACTCCAGATGAAGTGGCTAAGATCACGGCTGAGGCGACAGGAAAGGTGTCACTGGGGAATCAGGAGGGAGGGGAGGTTGGAACAGGAGGATCAGGAGGCGGTACTGGACCTGGGAATACTACCGAGCCCAAACAGGAGCAGCATAGCCCCAAGAAGGAGAAGACCCATGCCCTTCTTCACTACCTCCTCAATAAGGATGATTCCAAAGAGCCGGCAGATATAAAGCCTAAACTAGAAGAGCTAGAAGGGAAGGGGGCCCCGGGGGCTGCTGGCGGCCCTGCACGGGGGGGTCCTGGATGTGGTAACGGCCCTGCACCTGAACATCCCGAGAGCAAGATCAAGTCCGAGCCGCCTGATGACGTAAGATAAATCATTGTTTAGACTTATTTGGCTAACATTATAATTGTTATTGGCGTTAAGCTAGTCGTTCAGAGTTCATGATAACATAGTACACCATCATGCCTCTGAATTTTTGTGAACCTCCTCGGACTTTGATCTAATCACAAATTTTGCTTATATGGATCTTCAGTTGCACAACCTAGAGTCCATCCTCGGAGATTTGAGGGGTTCAAACTCAGACTTCTACCCGGATCAAGCTGGAGGGGCTAGTGATGCGGGAAACAAACCACAGGGTTGCCTAGATGACAGCCTGCAGAGTAAGTGGGTCAAAAACCAAAGGCTTGAAGAAGTGTCATTTACATGCAAGGAGAGTGTTGTAACAATAATATTTGATGATGTTCAAAATGTTCTTTGAAATCATTCATGTATCAAATATGATATGATGAGCAAATTTGCGTTTGTGTTTCCACACTTTCTGAATACTTAGTTTTAATACATTACTTATTAGCAAATGGTCTGTGAGTCTATCATTAATTACTCCCACTTGATGATTTAAAGCTTATTATCCCTGTGAGATCGAAGAACATATCAATATTTTAATTTGCCAGATAGTACTGAGATGTATTTCTTTTACCAACGGCATCCACACCTACTTAGATGCAACACGGGCATTAATCTTCAGACACTAGAAGATAAGTGAAAAGTGACCATTGATTTATTTATTTTTTTTATTTTTTTTTACAGGGAGTCCAGGAATGGGTCCAGGTCCTCGGGGACCCTTCCAGAGGGCCATGTCCATAGATGGGAAGCCTCCAGTTGGTCCAGGAGGGGCAGGTAGACGCCCCATGCTGATCAAGCAGGAGAACATAATGGGCAGTCCAGATGGGTACCCAGGAAACATGGGTGTGTGCTCAAGTAGGCCAACATTGTTACCAGCACTTTTTCTTTGATCTCTCTCTGCCTGCCTCAATTTATTGTGAGGGTTTGTGTTAATTGGTAATTCAATTGATCATGTTGGAATTTATTGTATGCTATTATTAGATGACTTTTAAACACACACTGCAGCACCTGTATGATACTAATGCACCTGCACATCCGTTGGTTATGTATGACCAGGACCAATGAATAGAGGCATGGTTCCCCAGAGGTCTCCAATGGGAGGTTCAGGAGATTGGAGCATGCCCCGTTCCAGCGCAAGCCCTGTGGGGTCAGCAGGACACCCCTCCATGATGCGCCCAGGCATGGAGTACAACAACAGCAAGGGCATGATGTCAGGCCCTATGGTTAGCCGCTCCAACAGTGTACCCGGCACCAGGTCAATGCTGCAGCAACAGCTCATGGAAATGGGTATGTCTGTTTATACCGTAACACTGTCAGAAACACATTAAAACCCATGTGACGTTTTTTCTTAGACACAGCGTAGCTTTGTGCATAATGTTTATCACCATGCAAGTATGCTCAAATGGATAATACTAACATGGCTGATGTTCAGCAGGTATTACGTTTGTGACCATCTTAGTCGGGGTTATTTCACGCTAACATTTGATGATTTCAAACAGAAATAAAAACAGCAAAAGTAAATGGGAATGCAATTCATTTTGTATTTTTGCGTCACAAACTAAACTCTTGGACACACTGATACTGTGCCCTGATTGTAGCCCTTTTAAAAAAAAAGTTTTGATCGCTATGGTCTCTCACTGAAGGGAACACGAGGGACGATGAATATCCAGACCAAAGAAATTGGCAAAATAACTGACTATGTTTTAGATCTGATGAACAGTGTTATATGTTTGGGCATCTTACATAATGTTACAGCTGTTGCCTTACACTTACTGTATGTTTCTGTACACTACGAACAGTCACACCAACTCTTTGATTCTTTCTGCTGTCAGACTCCTAAATGCTGACAGCAGTAATTGACATAGGTCAGCTCTTAAACACATGCAACTAATATGCATGTGTTTTTTTCATTAATTTATCCAGAATTGTGTTTTCAATTCTTGTATGAACTGGCTCCTCACAACAGATCTCTTGTCACTGACATGTCTGGTTAAATGTTTGCTATTGATTGTCAGCTAAATTGTCCCTCTGCAATAAATAAAGTTGTCTGAATTTGAATCAGAATTACATTCTACATGCATGGCCTGTTGCACACAGACACTTTGTGCATCATTGAAAGTGTATTCTGTTTGTATTTAAGGTGGTTCTGCTGACATGGGTATGGGAATGAGCCCCTTCAGCCAGCAAGGCCAGCCCAGCCAGTCCTCATCCTGGCCGGATTCTATAATGGGCATGGAGGGTAACAGGTCAGTTCAAAATCCCTTAATGTCTGTTTATTCCTGTTTAGCGGTGGTGAGCTTGGAGTGCAGTTTATACTGAACCTCGTGGTGAGATTTTGATTGTTTGTGTGCCGTGTAGACGCCAGTTTGGGAACACCTTAGACGATCTTCTGGTGCCTCCCACCACCAGTGAGGGACAGAGTGATGAGCGGGCGCTGCTCGATCAGCTGGACTCGCTGCTGAATAACACTGACGGCATTGCTCTTGAGGAGATTGATCGAGCGCTGGGCATCCCAGACCTCGTCAGCCAGGTAAGATATCAGAAAAGATGTAAAAAGACCCAAGGAGAAATGATCCATATTCATATCAGGACTCATAAATGAGCCTTGCATTCATCTTTGAATTAGATATTTCAGTCATGACTCTCAGTGTTCAGACTGTTCTTTTTCTGAAGGAGGACAGATGAGCCTGGAGGGATCTGTCTGTGCCGCTGAGAAAGACAATTACAGAGTCAACCATTTGGAAATTAATCAATTAGATGGTGCTGTTTGACAAACTTCTTCTTTTGTCCTCTTGTCCTGTCTGCTCCAGAATCAGGGGGCTGAGCAGCAGCTGGAGCCTTTTCCAGGACAGGACCCTTCCATGGTGCTGGACCAGAAGCCTCTCTACGGACAGGGCTACCCCGGACCCCCCTCCATGCCCATGCAGTCCGGCTATGGAGGGAACCCCATGCAGGGACAGACTCAGCAGGGGGGGTTTGGGCCCATGCTCTCTCAGATGGGCCAAGGTGGCAGTTTCCCTGGTATGGGTGGGATGGGTGGCATGGGACACCCTCGTGCCAACATGATGAGACCCCGAATGATGACGGCCAACAAACCCATGAGGCTTCAGCTGCAACAGAGGCTGCAGGGACAGCAGGTAGGAGAACAGGATGCTTCATCAGTTAGAGAACAATCTATGTTCCTTTACGTTTATTGGTATGGTATTATTTGTAAAGTAATGGTTTGAAAGGGCTGCAGAGTGAGTGTAAAATGTGTTCCTCCATGTTATAGTGAATGTTCTTTTGCCCTTCCTCAGTTCATGAATCAGACGCGGCAGGGTATGGGCATGAAGATGGAGAATCCGGGAGGAAACCCTGGCATGAGGCCAGGCATGCAGCCTGGCATGGGAGGACAGGTAGATAAAAGAAAATGTTATCGATTAAACTCTGTAAAACACTTTGTAATAGGAGATCTGATTCCACAGATTTTGCACTAATATCATATTCTGAAACAAGTATGTCCAAACACTGTTTCAAGGGCTCTGGTTAAAATATTTAGTTTACAGTAAGTGTATACAAAGAATGTTCAATACATGCTGCTCCATTGAGTAAACTGATGCAAGCATAACAACAAATACAACCAGAGATACAGCTGTTATGTGCAAGGAATTGCAATAGCTATGGCGAGATAATTCTGCACAAGGTCAGACACCATGGCCGAGATAAGCTTTATGAGTGTAAAGGCACGCAGAGTAAATAGATCTTTAGAACCTGCAAGAGGAGGCAAGTTCAAATAAACTTAAGCCCAGGTGTGAGTGTCCTACATCAGTGATCTCTTTGTACCACCTCCTGGATCAGGCTTTGTAAGTCCTAACTAATAACTTTACCTATTCTCAATAAAAACATCATTTTAAGCCATTCATAACAACAACTATGGGTTTATTCTCCAGGAAGACACTTAGGCTATGTAATGGGCAAACATGGACCAAAAAATCCATGCATTGTCCTCTTTTCATATGTATACCTGCACACATCATGCTAGAGCCAACTAGATATTAATGGAATTCATAACGGAGATATACAAGAGACGTTTTCTTTTATACAACATCAAAGTTACAACATGTAACTTAAGCCCCTTTTTTATCAGACTGTGTTACGGATTCTTTCTGCTCTTGTTCTGTGTGGTAGCCAGTATTAATTAGAAAGTGGTGGATTCACATTGAAAGGTCTGATTGCAGTTTAGAACATGGTGCACTTCCTCAAGGAGTAAATCATCTGCCGAGCATTTCTCAGAACCCGATTTTACAACCATACTTCAGGCCACAAGAAATACAAATCCCAGGAAAAGAGTTTATTTTCTGCTAAAGGCTAACTCCATTTAAATATATATTTCTTTCTGTCGATTTCTTTGCCACAGTTAGTTGTTAATGTTGAAGATACCAAAAGAAGAATAAAAGTCCAAGACCAGAACGAAGCAGGGATGATGCTGTTAATGTTGAGACCTAACCTCAACCAGTTTTTAATACTACATGTTGTAAAAAAAACAGCTCCAAATCTACTTATACCTATACTTATACCATGTCAATCCTCTGTAAGCGGTCTATTTGTGATTGTTTTTTGCAGCAGGGCTTCCTCAATGCTCAGATGATGGCTCAGCGCAGCAGGGAGATGGTCACCATGCAGATGAGAAGGCAGCGTATGATCATGCTGATGCAGCAGCAGCAGCAACAACAGGCTGCAGCGGCCGCTGCTGCAGCCGCAGGAGGATTCAGTCCACCTCCAAACGTCACGGCTCCTGGTGGCATGGACAATCCCATGGGAGGGCCAAGCATGGGTCAGCCGGGCCCGCAGCAGTTTGGCTACGGAGGGAGCTATGGTGAGTTTACTTAACAAAGAGAACAATGCTGCTTCCTGGTGGTGAGACTGTGCACTGCAAGATTTGTGTAGAAAATTGCAGATTCTTCAAAGGGCTTTCCACATCCAGTATTCTGTCTCTGTGTCTTTTTTTAAGCAGACAAATATTATGTTATACAGTATATACTGTTGTTTTTGAAGGAATAGTAGGTTAATCTCATAACGTACAACTTGTGCATTTGCTTTGGAAAAATAAGCAAGCTGAAGCCAGGTGATCTATTTCCACAGGGATGGGACAGCAGGGAGACCCTTCGTTCGGACCATCAGGCGGCAGTCCTCCTAACGCGATGATACCCAGCCGCCTAGGACCTCAAAACCCCATGATGCAACAGCACCCACAAGGCGGTCCCATGTACCAGGGTGCTGATATGAAAGGCTGGTCGCAGGGAGGCATGGGACGCAACAGGTAAGAACCACAGTGTCAGAGAGTGAGTTTGGCTTCAGTTTGGCTGGCCCCTTGAATATACACAAGTTAACCCTTTGTTTCTTCCTGTTGCTATTCTTCACCAGTTCATACCCACAGCAGCAGTTTGGGCCACAGGGACCTCCAGGGCAGCAGCAGTTTGGGCAGCAGGGGAATCCAGGCCAGTATGGGGGCATGATGATGAACGGGGGCATGCCAGCCAGCGGAGGAGCAGGTCACATGGGGCAGATGGGGGGGCAGATGGGAATGAACCCAATGGTGATGGGACGCATGCCTATGGGGCCTGATCAGGTAGGTGTAGAGGGTCTGAATGTTGAAAGTGGTTCACATTTGTTTAAGTTTGTCTGAAAACAACACTGATATGCCTCTCGCGAAATGAAAACGCTGTGATTATTAATTCTGTACATTGTTACACAACAGAAATAACAAAATGAGATTGCTAGATTGAGTCATTTGCCCCCTAAATTACAATCCTTTTACTGAAAATCACACCTTAAGTTGTTATCTCTTTTCTTGACCACCAAGGAAACATAATCAGCTTATAACTCATGGTACATCAAGGAGTTGACTTCAAAATCAACCAATTTTTTGGTTGGCGTTTTTGTTTCAGTTATATTAAGCGACACAAGGCAAACACTCCACTCATACTCAACTGTACATACAGATGTGTCAGTAATGTTTCAAGACAGACTTAAACCTATTCTGTCTCATTCTGGAAGAGTTGGTCAAAAATGGCAAACTTCCCTGTCTCACTTTTTTCTTTTCTTCCTCCTTGATGTAGAAATACTGCTGAGCATGGTGACAGCAGCATTTGTCTCACTGTGATCTCCATCCAGAGAGAGGACACAGCTGCAGCACAGGAGTGAGGAGGAGGAGTCGTAGTAGTAGTGGAGGACCAGACTCTGTGTGTGTGTGTGTGTGTGTGTGTGTGTGTGTGTGTGTGTGTGTGTGTGTGTGTGTGTGTGTGTGTGTGTGTGTGTGTGTGTGTGTGTGTGTGTGTGTGTGTGTGTGTGTGTGTGTGTGTGTGTGTGTGTGTGTGTGTGTGTGTGTGTGTGTGTGTAGTGCTGCTTTCCCACCAGACGGGGGAGTGAGCTTCCTTTGTAGAGGGGTCTGTGACGACAGTCTGGAAACCTGAAGAAAAACAGTCACATTGATTCATGAAGAAACTCAATATTGATTAAGAATCATGAACAGTGTGACACAGTCACACACTGAAACAGTTACAGCTCTTTGACTCCTCTGTAGACTGTAGTATTAATGTTCCTCTTTTCCTGAGTGGCGTGTGCCTCAGTGAACACAAACGCCACACGCTGGACCGAAACATGGACGAACGCGTCGAGACATCCTCTCCACGTCGTCGAATGTACTACGGAGCTGTGTTTTGATTTTAAAAACATGGGATTCCTCTCTTCACTTCTGAACGCCGCCTCTCCGATGCTCCAGGAAGATCTCTCTGTGTACTCAATGTAAAGTTTCTAGACGACGAGCCGTCAGATTGTGACACTCACATGAATGTCATTCAGCAGTAGCACATTGTTTTTTGTCCTCCGGGACGCCGCTGAGCTAAAGAACGACTGACTTACTCGTTGGCTGATTGCACTTTAAGAAAAGGCCAACATCAAAAGGATTGTGGCAATATAGAGGCCTTTACCCAAGAGTTAATGTATAGCAGCAGAAATTTACTGTTTATTTTTGTGTTTGTTCTCCAACTTTTTCCTCTGTAACCAGGATTGGTTGCTGATGATTGGACATGGGTAATCTTTTTGATCTTTGTTCTAAAGTGGGAACCAGTGGAAAGGCAGAAAGCACAGATTTTATCCAACGCTCTAGTCTACAGTGAAGTAATTTATTAGAGAAACTGAACGTTTTTAAAAATCACTCGACTTCAAAACTCGACTTATATTTATACAGATTTGCGGTGTGATTGTTTTATCATTCCAGAGGTAACTTTTAAATTGAAATCTTGCAGGTATTTCGTTAACCTTGCACCAATTTGCGGTGTCACTACAAATGCAGAAACACAATTTAAGATGATGTCTACATTAGCTCCTGCTGTAAGAGAAATTGTGTGTTAGATTTCATTGTGCTGATTTCTAGCAATAATCCTTCCTCCTGGTTTTCCCCTGAGGACAAAGCTCATACACTCAAAGTGATGGCACTGCAGTATTAGACATGTCTCATTTGGAGTTCTTTGTTTATTTGTTTCTTTGTTTCTTTTACCTGTGAATATGAATTGTAAATAGGCTTCAAATGTACTATATATAAATATATATATGCTTTTGTAGGTCACATACGTTTTTGCACAGATTGTAAGGCTTGATATTTAAAAGTTTCTTAATCTGTCATAGGTCAGCTTTTATTTTCCAAACCTTAAACATAAGGCAGAAAGGAAGGGCCTCATTTTTTGTAAGCAGTACGTGTAGATTTAGTTTCATACTGTCACTTTCTTTCTCTCGGAAAACATTTTTCTGAGGACATAGTCTTAGCTGAAGAGGTGCTAGTGTGTCATGTTGTTTTTAAATTATTTTTCTCTTGACAGAAAAAGGAAACACAAAGTATGCCTATATACATAAAGAGTTGACACATGATTGTGTTAGGCTTCAAGGGGCCCAGATGTCTTACCAGTAATGTGGTGTTGATGTTTTCTCTACTGAACCTCATGCTCCCATGTGTGACTTAAAGTTTCACTCCTGAGATTTCTGTGCTTTCGGATTTTGCAGATTTGATGATTTAGCCTCAGACAGAGACACTTTGGAGCCACTGTCTGCAGATGTTTAATCCTTATGGAAGCAAGACAAGAAGTTGTTTGAATCCCTAATTGCCTGTCAATCTCTTGACAGGGAAATCTTTTTCTTTTTTTTTTTACCTTTAAGTTTGCCTTTATTTTTATTCTAACTCTTGTGAACCTTTTGTTGGAGAATCTACCTTTGAACACATGCTCAATCCAAAGATTTTTGTTTGTCATTCTGCAGTTTTTAGAACAGTTCCTGATGTAGATCGTGCAAGTACTCATGTGTGATTTAACTGTTGCACATAACCTATAATATTCATTGAACTAAATATTTTTAAATGCATATATTATATCCCCATGATCCGTATGACATAGAGTAGACAAAAGTCTGGTTCTGCTGAGGTGGTTTGAGTTTTTCCATTTGTGATTGTTTCTTCCTTTCTGTAGCTCTTATGGCCAGTTGAATTGTGGTGCTGCAAACGGTGCTTTCACAAGCGAATGTTGAGATTTTTTTCTAAGCTGAAAGGAGGTTTCATGATTGATGTCTTTATGTCTCAGAATAATAGCTTGGAGTTGTTTTTTTTTTGTAGCCCCAGTCTCAATGATGAATATGAAATTTAAATCGTTAAATATTTGAGAAAAAAAACATTTTTCTAGGAGGCAAAAAGTCTCTTTAGAGTGCATCGTCGGCACTAAAGATACTGCTAAATAAATCTGGGAAACATACGGTCATTATTAAAGGATGTAAAATACTATTGCATTTTTTCTTACCCTGTTTCTTGATGTTAATATTGATGTAAATACAAATTTATATTTAAACATTACTATGTCTCTTGTCTTTTTGCACATTAATCCTGCAGCCACAACTCAGTCTGTCACTATGCAACACTCCTAAACTTTGTTTTACTACATCAGCAGGTCCTTTCAAGAGCACAAGTAGAAGTATTCTCATGTCTTCCAGTCTGCATTTGGAACAAGAAGAGTGTGGAGGACATCCGTGTGGCAAATCCTCAGACCGAAGCTGAAAATGCACAGAGCGTTCTCTCAGACTGGCTGTGTTTATGTGACATTAGTGTGCTTCATGCATCATTCTGCAGCCTCACTTTTATTTGATGTTTGTTTCCTGTCATTGGTCACACCCCTCCCCCAAGAGTTGCTGTCATTAAACATCCCTCTTCTCTTGCTTTCTCTTAATGATTTTGCTCCCCCTGTAAAGATCTGTCACCTCCAGACTGTAGGTAGACCTGCTGCGGCTGCTGTTGCACCAGGACCTCACAAGCCCATTCAAAACATTGAATAACTTTTCAGACTTGTGCATTATTCTTTATAAAATAATAGTGCTGTCAATTTAATGTTGACTGACTTATTCAACCCTTCAATCTGAAGTATTGTATGTGGAGAAGTGAGGTGACATTTTTATGTGGAGAGATGTTGAAGTGTCGACTTTTACGTTATACCATGGTACATACTATAGTAACTCCCATATTACTATAGTACATACCATAGTACCTCACAACATATTATGGTATACCATGGTACAAACCATAGAAAAGGGTATATTACTGTGGTACATACAACATTGCCTGACTGCACTACCCCAGATATTACAATGGTTCCTCAGATAGGCTATCACCATGGTACAACAAATCATTTTAATCACTACGGTCCCATGATACCAGTGAGGTAATACCTGAGGTTCCCTTGTCCACACCACAGCACATCGCAGGGTGCCATGGCAGTACCAGAGTAGATCACTCTGAAAGGCAATTGTGATACACCAGGCAGAATAGTCTATAGTGAAATACAAAAACGTTGGTTTTTGTAGAAAATTGTAAATGGGTTCGTCCATGCTGTCTGCTGGTTATAGCCTATTCCCAGAACTGGAAGTCGTTGCCATCCCTTTCGATGGAGGTTTAGTGTAAAATAATACAATATAATGCGCTCAGAGTGGATTAGAAATGATTTATGTGGTGTCTGATTGAAACAAGCGTGCCCTAATTTTATCATGCAGTTTAACCTCCTCGTTACAGTCTACCTTGACGGTTTCTCCACTTAAAGTATGCATGCAAAATTAATAAATCTCAGTGAACCCTCCAATGTCAAAATACATTAGACGCCAGCTCCTTGCAGCTGAAATTATCCAAATGGTTGTTTTTTTTTGGATTGGAGTTGTCAAACTATTTCAGCCCCTTCAGTCTGACAGTGGGGGTTTCCTGGGTGTGTGCATCCAGCAGGGTGGAGCAGGAGGCGGGGTGCGCCGAAGGAAAGGACGCACCGCTCGCCTATTGGAGCAATCGCGGAGTGGGCGCACGTAAGACGCGCCCACCACAGCTTAAACGCTGTTTTTTTTTTTTTTTTCCTTCTTCGGGACAGGAGACATGAGGTTCAGAGACACCTGTCAGGAGGATTGCACATCCAGGAGCTGTATGTGAGGCAACTGGATACTGGTGGTTTGGCCATGGACGCGCTCTTATCGCTTTTATAGTCTCCTCGTACAAGGAGCGTAAAGTTATCCTGCTGCTTTCTTGTTTTTCTTTGTCTTTATCTTGTTCTCCAAGCCGCATGAGTTCGCAGCTGTTTTTAGGTCAACTAGTCGGGGTTCCGTTGGAAATAATGCACCCCACCATGGAGAAAGATACGACCTACACCAAAATCTTTGTCGGCGGGCTGCCTTATCACACCAACGACGCTTCACTTCGGAAATATTTCGAGAGTTTCGGGGACATCGACGAGGCGGTGGTGATCACTGACAAACAGACGGGCAAGTCCAGAGGATACGGCTTTGTGAGTGAATTTAAACAAGGTTTCCACTTTCTGGTAGAATTTAAAAGTCGCAGACCTTTGTGTTTTCATTAAGGTTTCTATCTGCTGATCTGATTTGACATTCAAGTCTCCTTAAACGTCTGTTTCACCATATAATGACTTTAAAGCGACTTTATATCTATTGTTATTTGTGCTTTTTTTTTTGCTTTTTTTTATTATTAATCTCCTGGATAGTATTAACTGCTTAAGGTTTCGTTTCTGTTCAATGGAGGCTATAGATACACCCACGTCGCAGAAACTCGCACACTGTCTCCCAGCAGCAGGCAGAAATAAGCGATGTCTGATGGTTGCAGTCACATGCTTGAAGCATGAGAGGCAGATTATTTCTTATAAGTGTGTCATCAATTATCTGTGCTGCCCCAAAGTACACACATAATACAAGTACAGTAAATAAACACACACACACACACACACACACACACACACACACACACACACACACACACACGCACAGAGGGAGAGAGGGATACACTTGAGCTGGTAATAAGCTGGTCTATCTTTGGACAGATGTTTTTCTTTCTGCTCTGTTGATATGAGAGAGATTGAGAGAAGGAGGGGGGGGATTCTTGGTCACAGAGGTGTGACATGTCAGCTGGCTATGTAAGATAAGACTGCAGTAGTTTCATTCTGTCTTCCTCCCATGCAGCCCCCCCCCCTTCTCTCTTGCTGTCAGGTTTACTTTAAGTTTGTGTGAAGGGGAAAGGAGAAAATATGTTTTAGAGTTAAGGAGTTCAAATAACCTCTTTCCCTGTTTGACCAGTGAGCCAATGTACTATGGTGACCACTGTGTTGTGTTGTGTTGTCTGCTCTGGGACAGCGTGATCGTGTCATCCCTGACTCTCCCTCAGCGGTTTTAATGCCCCGCTGTAGCTTCTTGAACCGTGCTGATCTCAAACTGTGCGCCGCCTCTGTTTGTATAAGAGTCCAGAGTCTGATGCTGCAAAATGAAAGCAAGTGTGTCCGTTTTGATTTCACTGTCACTTTTATTTGCGATGGTGCTGTCTTTACCTCCATAAATCAAAAGTGTCTTCCCTGCGTGTGTTCTAACCTTCACTATCTCTATTCCCACTGCGCGCTCTGCCCACTCCTCACCTCACTCCCTCAAGGTAGACTCAAACATCTCATCCTTGGCAGCTCAGTCTGATAAAAGGCCAAATCTGCCTCCTACATAATCTCCAACGGAAGTATAAAACTCCATAATGGCTGTAGTAATGAAGCGGACTCACTCTCTCACTGTGTATTTAGCAAAACGGTTGAATCATTCGAGGAGAGACGAGGGCAGAAGCGACCTCAGGGGCCACCCTGCTCTGGGCTCTGTTGCTTCATCTGAGCAGTCATGTTGGAATCACTCCATCATCACTGCATAGAGAAGCTTTCACATGCAATTATGAGTTTACCAGAGGGAATTAATAAAACATGTTTTGACAATGTCAACAGGTGACCATGGTGGACAGGGGGGCAGCAGAGCGGGCGTGCAAAGACGCAAACCCAATAATTGACGGCAGGAAGGCCAACGTGAACCTGGCGTACCTTGGAGCGAAGCCTCGCAGCTCACAGACGAGTAAGTATGAAAGATCACAGCTGAAACATACAGGATCAACTAAATGATTGAGGTAACTTGCAGGAAAATGCTGGTCTACTTTATTTATAGAAAAGAAACCCCCGTCAGAAGACATAAGCTCCTGCTGAAGATGTAAATCTTTATAATCAGGTCAAATATGTGGTTTCAATTTTTAGAAAGTCAAAATATTTCCTTAAAACACATTAAAAGGTGATAATGTCTGCAGGGCAGCTTTATGTATTGTTTACATTGGAAAATACGATAAAAATGATGTTTAAAAAAACACCTTAAAAGATCAATTTAAGCATATGATCCTAAGGAGTAAATATAAGATTTTGTTTGGGACTATTCTTTGCTGTGCAATAAAGGTGCAAGACTCATTGTCCATGATGCAGAATTGATTAAGTCAGCCCTATGATTATTTCTTCATATCAGACAGTTTTTCATAATTTTGTGTAATAAATTGCTCCCAGGTCGCTAATTGCTTCCAGGAACTCATCCAAAAACTGTAGTTCACAAGAGGTAACCCAAAGTTGTCTGTGTTTTGTGGTCACTGTATGACTCTCTGTCAGATATCAGATAAATATTACTTTTTGTTGTCTGGGAGATTTCATCTGGAAGGAATTGAAAGAAGCAACTTGGATGTCATGTTATTGCAAATATTCCCCAGAGATGAATGAGGAATCTATCAGTCTTCAGTCACTGTTGACGGATCTCAAGTGTGATGGTTTTCATGCTGCATTGAAATGAATATGAACCCAAGGCTGCATGAAAATCAATCTAAAGATCTGTAAAATGATCAACACATTTGAGGTTATTTGGCTATAAACACACAAAACCATTGCTTTCTTACTGTGAGCCAGCCGTCTCTGCTCATTTCTAACATACATTCACTCTTTGTGTATTTAATTTAATGCACAGCTTTTCTGCCCCAAGGCTTTTTCAGCTTTAGACACCAGCACACACATGCTTCATGCTTCCCCTCCGATGTCTTTGTGCACACCAAACCCTGACAGCTGCTCTGCCCTCTCTCCTCCATCAGAAGCTCGCTGGCTGCAATACTGTCAAGTGTAGGTGTGATTGACAAACAGCGACGCCAACAACAACTGACTATGTGTCCTTATTCCGGGCCAGCAACTGCGACGCAGCTCTCCAAGCATGCAGCCGATGGGAGATGGCAGCGCTTGGTATTTTGTTATTGTGTGTGAGAGAATAAAAAGAGCAAGGAGGGGATGGGACTGTAGGGAGCAAGAAAAAAAAAACTGTGTCCTCTTTGTCCCTGCAAAGGACTGAAATGTGCATTAAGATGTACGTTTGCACAAAAGAGGAACGCTGTCAAAGAGAGGAAGAATAGAGGAATGAAAAAGCTGGAGGAGTGAAGAAATGATGTCTGGGAGGAGGAAGAGGAGGAGAAGATTCTCCTTTCTTACTCAGACTCAG